ATTAACTCTAGCCAGAAACTGTTGTGAGCCAAGTCCACGAACCCTGGGGGTAGAGATTTGGAAGTGTTTTGGGCACCAGGCACCTTAGCGCCCATCCGGGACCCTCTCCTCTCCTCAGTCAGAGGATTTGAGGAAGCAGGAAAGAGAACGGCCCCTCCTCGCCTTCATCCTCCAGCCAGCTCCTGCTGCTCTGCCTCCTTGGAGCGGGGCAGGTTCGGCCGAGAGTTTTCGTGGCAGCATCAGCCTTGACATTCTGAGGTCTGAGACACGGACTGGGAGCTTGCTGTAAGCGCGTGGTCAGTGGCAGGCAGGGGAAGTGGTGCGAGTCTGACGGACAGGCGTCACCACATGCTGCAGGCCCTGTAGGCCTTGCTCAGGGCTTGATCTTCCTCCCAGAACAAGGGGGGAGCCACGGAGGGACTTGGGGTAGGGGGCAGACCATCCCGTTTAGGTTTTAAACAGATTGCAGCAGGTGCACGGTGGAAGCCAGGCTGGGGTGATGGAGCGGACACGAAGGGACTGCGCCCAGAGGCGGGGCACATTCCCGCCAGAGGCGCAGGACAGCTGGTTGTGAGGTTTAAAGCTCAGTAGACAGGGCTGTGTGCACCCACCCTCCATCCCAGTGTCCCCCTCAGGTGATGTGGGGCCGAGTGCCTTGGACAGGTCCACCCCCAGGGTGCCACACCGTGTGTCACGTGTGCAGCTTGCTCCGCTGACTCAACCACACACCATCATCTCACACCATTGGCACACACTCTAGCCCAACCTGGAGCCCAGACACAGCCCCTGGCCAGGGTGGGGGGCTCGTATGTCTGCAGCCGTTCTCTGTGCGCGGAGAGTTTGACTGACGTTTCACTACTGCAAGATGGTCCTTGATGCCTCACCCCATCTCCTCGGCTCAGGCTGCGGCTGCCTCCAGGGAAGACCAGGAAGAGGAGTGGCCGGGTCTCAGTGGCGCTGCGCGTCTCTGATTTTAATTGACTTGCGTAGTTCCAAATTGCGTGCTGTCTGTACTCCCACCAGCAGCACCCGAGGGGACTGCTCCTTCCCTCGATCCCATGCAACTCGGTGTTCACCCTGAGCAGGTGGACGGTGCAACCTTCCCAGGCTGTAGGCAGGAAGCTCCCGCCCACCTGGATCGCCAAAGGGGTCTGCTGCACTTCTGTCCACGGAGGTGGACATCATCTCCTGGGAAAAGGCAACACGGAGGGACAGCAGGGCAGGTCTGCAGAGCACAGAGAAGTGCGTTTGTCTCGGCCGCACCCGAATCCACTGGGTGTGGCTGATGGCCTCTCCGAATCTGAGCACACTTGGTCTCCAGCAGAGGCACGATGTCCCAGCCTGCCCATGGCCACGCCACCACGCCAGGACTTCCGCTGTGCCCGGCCAAGTCGTTAGGCCCGGATAGCGGTTTGCAGAAGAGATGAACTGGTTTGCAGGCTGCACCCGGGAAAGCTGGACGAGGCCGTGGCACCCCCCTCCCCGGGACGCAGGAGTGCGCACAGTAATACAGGAGGCACCGTCACCGCTCAGCCGCGTCCTCACTCCTCGTGGCAAACAGAAGCCGCGGAGATGAATCTCGCGGCCCCGTCTGGTTTAGGGTGGGATTTGGGGCCGCGCTCCAGACTCACGGGATAAAATGATGAGGCTCACGGAGCTGTGACTGCCAATGTAACAGCAGCGTTTCTTCTTTCAAGCTTTTATTATCCCCAGACAGACACCCTGTTATCTTGTTTTGAGATGTTGCTCCAGGACACGGAGATCTCAGCACTGGTATTAGAAAGGAGTCGTTGGTTATGAGAAGAGACTCAATTCAAGTGGGCAAAGAAATAAATTAAATAAATAAAGGCGGTGGGGATGGAAGACATTCATTGTCTTATATGACAGAGACGGCTTCAAGTCCACAGGTGCCACCCCAAGTCCCACACCGAATCTCGCAGGCCCGGTTTGGGTCACGTGGCTCCCCTCGAACCAGCCCCTGGAGATGTCGTGTGGCCAGGTCCGGGTCACGCACCTGTCCAAGCGTCTGCTACAGACGTTAAAAGCAAAGGGGCGACCGTCTTCCAGAGAGGGGGGGTCAGGCAGCTGTCCACTGTGGTGTGCAAACATGGCGAAGCCGCCTCATATTTTTGTTTAATGCAATCAAGCACCCGTTCCTGAGTCCCCTGAAGTCCACAGAAAGAGAGAAAGCAGCAGACGGTGCAAGTCCTCGTCTCAGAAGCTTCGAGACTTCCTGGAGACCCGAGATGCTATGGGAAGCGGAGGAGAGTGGCCCAGCCCGAGGTCACGTGCCATTCCCGGGGCCTGCTCTCTGCCGGGCGCTGTGTGGGAGGAGGAAGACGGCAAATGAGAACAGGACATGGCCCTCGTCCTCTGGGAGGGCCCAGTCTGGCAGGGGAGCCAGCGCAGCCTGGTAAACAACTCATTACAGATGCAATGCGGTGTGCTCTCTGATATGATTAAGCTCCTGACAAGGCCGGCTGGAGAGGAGAGGGGAGAGTGGGCCTGCATAAACAGGGACAGGCAGGCGGGGGCCGCTGCTCCTGCCGCAGCCCCTCCACCTGGGCGCTGGGCGAGGGGGCTGTGGGCCTGCGGGCGAACCAGACGCCACCCCGCCGCCCTGCCTTGGCCCCCCACTTTTGCAGCCCAGGATTCTGTGCCATCCACTTGCCGAGCTGCTGGAAACAGAGGCACAGAGCACTTAACCACTCTTTACTATTTACCTGAAATGCTGACTGCCCCCCGCCCCCGGCAGAGGCTAATAGATTCCTGTCAAAACGGAGTCACTCGTGTGGAATTCTGACTTCTGCACGGACAGCGATGGCTCAGGGGTGGCGCTGGGCGTTCAGGATGACAGAGCCATTCACAGCGAAGCTTCAAGGAGGATGTTTTGAAGATAAATGGGCATTTGTGTCGAGAGGGAGAGAGAGACCCCCCATACCTTCAGTCCCAAACCTGAAATGGGGCGGTTTGGCTTCTGGAAGGCTTTCTGGAAACTTCTCACCTGTGGATTGCCAGAGAGCCCCAAGTGAAGCCTGAACTTTGTTCTAGAATATTCCAGCACGAAGGGCTGGAGCCAGGAGCCAAAGTCAGTGAGAAGTGAGAGGCTCAGCCCTGGCTCTGTGGACCGACAGATGGGGTGCGAAGGGTAAAGTCGCCCTTGACAAAAGCACACAGGGCTTGGTGGGCCCAAGTCATCGGCGGCTCCCTCCCCCACACTTCCTCCTGGCACCTGCTCTGCCCAGAGCCGAGGGCCCTTGAGGACTGATTCTAATGTGTCGCGGGGAGAAGGAGCCTCGAGGGTAACCAGGGTGCAGGACCCAGCGTGCGAGGCAGGGCAGGGGAGGCGCATTCTCTTTTTTAACCCTCTGGATCGCGTCACAGAGAAAGCCTTGTGATGCGTTTGCAGAGCCCTGCCCTGGTCGCCGTTCCCAACTGAGCGGGCCCAGGTCTCCGTCCTGGCTGGGGTTTGAGAACGCGGTTCTGTTTCCACTGTGTTCCTTCTTCCAGGGGGGTCTGCTCCTTCCAATGCCCACTCCTCACTCAGCCGACCCTGGGGGTGCCAAGTCCTCCCCGCCCTGCTCTTGGCCTCCTTGGGGGTCAGAGTGACACAAGGGCAGGAGGTGCTCAGGCTGGACTCAGAATTCATCCGGGTCCCAGATTCAGCTCTTGCCACTTCCCGGGGCAGGGGGCTCCCTTAGATCTTCCTCTGCAGTGTCTGGGTCTGGATTCACTGACCCTGGCCCTCCAAACCCCATGCAGGAATATTGACTCCATTCCCTGTGGTGCAGGCGCTGTGCGAGCTAGGAAGCACCTGTGGTGTGGTGGTCATCGTGGCTGACCGTGCATGCGTGTGTGTGTGTGTGTGTGTGTGTGTGGGTGGTGCACCAGGTTCCCACCCCAGTCCACTGCTGGCAGAACTGCACGCAGCCAGAGGGGGCACTGGCTGGCGTTTGGGAGGTTGTGGGGGACACACGTCTGCACTCGCCCCGCAGGCCAGCACTGGCCTGAAATGTGGGTGAGCCGAGGGGCCCTGAGCAGGCACCGTCCATGCCTCAGCCTAGTCCAGGCCTCCCCTGGTGGCACCGTGCCTGCCCCAAGACAAGGGCACTGACAGCGGGAGAGAGGGGAGAGGGGGTGGGCCTGCATAAACAGAGACAGGCAGGCGGGGGCCGCTGCTCCTGCCACAGCCCCTCCACCTGGGCGCTGGGCGACGGGGTCTGCGAGAGAACCAGATGCCACCCCGCCGCCCTTGAAGCGTGGGCCGGGGCACGGGGGCTCTGCTGCAGCCACAGGTGCTTCTTCCTCCTCTGACTTTCAGCGTGGCCCCCCACCCCCCACCCCACCCTGGGGTCGGGAGGCGGAAGGGCCGTCAGCTCCATCCTGCACACCAGGAGCCAGCATGGAGGCAGAGAAAGGCAGGTGCAGCCCAGAACTTAGCCGCACCCGGTGCTGGCTGCTGCGGGCACCTTGCGAGCCCGGGTGGACAAAAGGCGCTTTTCTGAGCGTCAGTGTCTCGAATGATCAAGTGTTCATTAAGCACCCCCGGGCGCCAGGCGCTGTCTGAGATGTGTGTCTCTCAATTTTCCACCATTTCCTTATTTTTTTCCCCTAGCCAAAGGCAGAGTGAAAAATGAACTCCGCGCATGGAAGCCTCTGGTTCCGTTAATGACGCCCCCTCCCTGGCCCTCCTCCGCGCTTATCCATCTCCTAAGGTGCCGCTGCGTTTTAACCCCTTCCGCAGGCAACCTAAGCCCGGGGCGGAAATCGGCGCCCTGCCCGTGGCTCCAGGGTGGCGGGGGCGGCTGCCACGCCAGACCCCAGTCCCCCCCACACCGGGGGCCAAGGAGCCGCCTGCGCCATGGACGCTTCTCGAAGGTCCTCGCTGAGCCCCCCTGCGCCCGCCCTGTCGTGCGCATGACTCTGGGTCTTACGTGAGCAGAGGGGTAAAAAAAAAAAAGCTGTTTTTCTCTTTTCCTTTTTCTTTTTTTTTTTCCTTTTTCCCTGGCAACAACCTCGCATAACCTCAAAAGTTACCCATGAATTTACCAAAACTTTTTTATGAAACTATTTTAACCTCTGGTGGGGGTTAAAAAACAAGCTCTGTGAATTTATTGCACGGAAAAAAAGCGGAGCGCGCGTTCGCGTGTGATGGGAAGGCGTCTCCCGCACTTCAAGGGGGCCCCCTAGCGCCGGCCGGCAGTAGCGGGGAGCCCGGAGTCCGGAGCCCGGCGCGGGAAGCCGACAGCGGGAGGCCGGGCGCAGGGTGCGCGCCCTCTGCACCCAGCTCCGGCCCCGGGGAGCCCCCGCCGCTCCGCAGGCCAGGGCACCCCTGCACACACGTCCCGTCCACGTTCTTAGGCGCGCAGGTGGCCGGCCCAAGCGCAGGCTGAGCTCGGGCAAGGGGGCGGACAGAGCCCCGGTGCTGTTGGAAGCCGGCGACACCGCGCACCCCTGCCCAGCGGATGCCTCTCGGCGCGCCCACCTCCCCCACCCCCACCCCCACCCCGGCCTTGGACCCCCATCTTGGTCCCCTACTCAGTGCCGCGCAGGTGCGCGCGAGAAGAGGTGACTCCTGATAGAGACCGGACGCAGGGAGGGGGCTCATCCGGCTTTGCAAGGCGGAACAAGCCAGCCCGGGCCATGGCGGTGCCGCCCGGGACCAGAACGCAGGCTGCCGTGCGCGGGGGCTGGTTCCGGTCAAGGTCGTGGCCGAGCCCATCCTCTCCAACCTGGGAACCTGTGGCTCCCTTTCTCTTTCAGTAGGGCCCTGCGTTTTAAAAAGCACACAAAAATATTAGGAAGCAACCATCCTGAGAGAGGCCGGAGAGGGGCGAGGACGGCCGGCTCAGAGCCCAAGACCCGGCCCACGTCAGAGCTCAGCCACCCGCGGCGCTGCGGGCTTGGAGACAGCTCGGCTCCCCCATCTTTAAAGTGGGGGTGATGGTAGCAGTGATAAGTGTGTGTCGCACGGGGCAGTCCCAACACGCACGTGTGCACACGCATGCGTGCACACGCACACACACGTATCCCACCTGGGCCCCAGAGCGGTCGGCTCTTCTGCGAGGTTGGGGCTGCAGGAGCCCATGGGGATACGAGAGAGCAAGACGGAGCTGTGGAAGCTAACTGTTGAGTCACTGTGGCTCCCCCCCCCCCCAAATCCACTTGAACCAAATGCAGAAACCAGCATGGCCACGGCTCTCTCTCGGGTGGGGTGGGCGGATTTTCTCCCTCTCCCCCTACCCCCGGGGGGCATATGGGAGGCACCCCCTTTCAGTACAGGCTCGCGATGGCACTGGCGGGGAGGCGGTGCCTCTTCCTGCTTGGCTCAGCCCCCAGGGGTTCTCACAACTCAGACCCGGTGGCGGTGGCCTGGGTGCTGGCGGGGGGTGGGGGGCACGCTGCTTTCTCGTCTGTGGCTCGGCCGCATCCTCCCCCAGGCTGGCTGCCCGGGGTCCTGGAGGCCCAGGCTCCGCTCACCGGGGAGCAGGGGCGTGGGGGCGGCCTCTGGGCCTGGCCTGGGCCCTGGCCTGGGCTTCCTTCCTTGCAGCCCCGTGCAGTGCCCAGTCTTGGGCTCTGGGGCTGCATTCACTCGGGCATCCACGGGGCCAGGGGCCGTTCGCCTTGTGCCCCAGACCGTGTGTCTTGCAGGGCAAATAAAACACGTTTCGCCGAGCTCTCATTGTCTCCTAAAACGTGGAGCCGTTAAAGCTTCCCCAGGTTTAATAGAGAAAACAACAACAGAATGGCTGCCACAGTGATTCCAAAAAGCAGAGTAGGAGGACTACCGGGGACCAGGGGACACGTGTTCCCACTTATCTGCTCAAATGGATTAAAGAGACTACACTATTGATTTTGAAAATCCACACATTAATGGTTCAAAGGAAATTGGCTTTGTATGTTTTAATATGCAAGCAATTATTTTCCTTTTAAAATTGCTCCTGAGTCTGTAGGGTTTCTATTTTTGTGGGGCTTTTTTGTTTTTGGCCCCTCGTTCGCTCTGTAGGGTGGAATCCTGCGTGCTGCTAAGTGGAGGGAGAGGGAAAAGCTCTTCCTCTTCACTTATTAATGTCTATCTGTTGTGTTTAATTTCAATTCATTTGGATTCATGTAAGTAACATTTCATTATGGATTTAATGCATGAATATTTTAATTAAGAATTGGGGAACATTTTGGTCCATTTTAAGCAACTCGGCCTGGTTTCCTCGGAACGTGTGCCAGAGGAGAGAGGTTCTTTACACTCCGCGGGGCCACGTCTCCTCCCTCACCTCGCTCTGATTTCCGGCCGCCGTTCAGCAGGGCCTGTGTTGGTGCCGTGGGGACACTGGCTCCCAGTCCTGCCACTCCATAAATCTAAGAGACACCAAGCAGTCATCTGTGCGGTTAGATAAGGAGGAAAATGATGATTTCTCTGTTATTTTGGCTGGAAGAATGGGAATCGAGATTCATCAATGTCTGTGGGAAATGGCTGTTCCTGGGAGACGGCTTCTTCCATCAAAGTCGTGATTTGGGTCTCGGATGCAGACGCGTTAGAGGATTTTCCAGGGGTCAGGAGCTGGCGAGGGGGCTCGACTGGCAGGTGTGCCGTGAGGTTGGCGCTAGGCACATCTTCAGTCCGACCTGGAACGTGGCCAGGAGGCTGCGGGGAGGCCGCCGGCCGCCGTCTCGTTCTCTGGGAACTAGAATGTCTTGGTGTCAATCACGATTGTTGGCAGGGAGGGACTAAGATGCGACTCAGAAAGGACCAAACACAAAGGGGATTTGTTTGCTCGTGCGATGCGAAAGCCCAGGGCTGGATTCAGGGGCCTCCGTGATGTCACCGGGGCCGTGTCCGTCCCAGGCCGGAATTGCTGTTCCCGGTGGCGTCTTCATGCCAGGCGCGTGGTGGCCCCCAGTGAGCCCAGCTTATGTCCCGCCCCGCCGTGGGAGGAGGATGTCTAGCCAGCCCAGCATCAGCTCTGATTTAGTGAGGTTTGGGTCCTAAGTTTCGCTCTGTGGCCAGGTGGGTGGAGGGTGCCTACTCCGAGTCAGGAGGTTGTAAGTCGGCCAGCTCGTGTGCAGAAGGGGATGGCTCCGTTCACAAAGAACACGCCTACTGCTGTCCACGCCTGCTGCCCGGGAGAGCACAGCCAGGAAGTGACTGCGTGGCCGTGGCTGTCCTGGGCACCTCCGGGGCCCGGCTCCTCTCCTCGGTACCAGGGCGGGCATCCACCCCTTCCTATTGTGGGTGTTGGCGGCTGACGACTCCTTCCTGCAGCTTTCTGGAAAGGATGGCTGATGGCTGATGGGAGCCATGTTGTCCAGCAACATGAACACGCTCCCATACACGCACGCACACGCGTGCACTGGCACGCATGCCATAAGCATGCCTCCCTTTTACTGCAGGTGGTGAGAAGCTGGGAGGTGAGGCACAGGCCAGAGTTCGCGGTGGGCCAGGCCAGGTTAGACTGCAACAGAAAGCAGCTCCTGTTTTGGTCTGCCTTTTCCCTCTTCTCACTCCCCCCGAGCTTCTCCATAAACCACTTTCGGAACAAGCACCCGAGCCACGGTTATCTAGAAGCCGTGAGTCACCGCTGTTGACCGCTCACGTCCCGGGTCAAGGCCATCTCCCGTTTTCCCAGCACAAAGATGGCAAGGGCTCTTTGGACCAATCTGAAACAAGACATACAGACACAGATGAGACAGGCAGATTTCTGCTCTCCGTGTTTAGTTCATTAAGCTGGTTCTGCATGACTCTTTAAATCCCACCTTGCATCAAATATTCGTTTGCCGAGAACTGCGTTTTCTCGCATTTCATGACGCGCTTCTAACCAAGCCCGCAGCGTGCAGCTCTGTGCCCGCCAGAGCCACTTGTCTGAGTCATCTAATAGGTTTCCCCGTCATGCCAGCCCTCGGGGAGGCAGAGCTCGCAGAAGCTGGGGACAAAGCCAGCAGAGGCATTTATCTGCCCACGGCCGTAAGCACCGTGGTGCAGTGAGGATGCTTTCTATTTCCCCGCTAGGTGCCTGTTCGCCATTTCCGCAAAGTAAACATGTTCCATTTTGCTTTAGAACAGCAGCCTTTAAGAGATTTGTTTACCACAACAGCC